TTTTTTTTTTTAATTCTTTTATTTATTCATATTATTATTTTTTTTATTTTTTTTGAGAATATAAATCAAAATAATTATGAGACGTTTCTTAACACATTAACCATCGCAATGGTTAATAGGCTTCCAGTAAAAATAAATATAAGTATATATATTTTTAAAAGACTTTAACATTGCTGTGCTTATAAGCGCTATTAGCAATAATCAGATGATAATTGCAATTTTTTTTTTCATTTTGCACTTTAAAATAGTGTTTTTAAATCTTCAAATAAGTTCAATCAATTTTTTCTCCTTGTTGTAGTTGTTGTTGTTGTTGTTGGTGGTGGTGGTGGTGGTGGTGGTGGTGAAGACAATTTTCGTTCAAGAATGCCTATTCTACAAGATTATTTGTAAGTATTAGGAGGGATAGATTAAAAATTGGCACTAATTTTTTTTTCGTTGTTGTTGGCAGCTGCTTAGAGCAGATTTAAGTATTTATAGAACGTTTAAGAATTATCCGTCTATCAGGACTACAAATCAAGTTCAGTTGGATACCATGGAAAACCGTTGATTTTTTTTGGCATTGAACTTTTCTTGACTTTAGTTTTCAGTTTTTAAACCATTGTTTGGTGACGGCTTTTTAAATTTTTCTCTGTTTTTCTCTCCAAAGCAAGAAAAAAAAATTTATTTATTAACATTTAGATTCAGCACCATAACTATATAATATTAACAAAATTATTTGTTTTTTTTTTCCTTATTCCCTTTTCCCTCATTATTTATGGTAGGCTATTTTCTAAGAACTCGTCGAACAAATGATATTAGTGGTAACAAAATGAAAAAAAAAAAAAAGAAGCAAGAAAGTTTTTTTTTTTTAAATGCAGTTGGGTTGTTGTCGAAATGGAAATTGTATAGGAGAAAAAAAAGGCAAACAACGAAATTTACAGATCCAATTCGTTGACCTTAAATTTTTTCAATTAAAAAAAAAGAAGAAGAAAAGTTGCGAAACAGTAAGACTAAACTTAAGTGTTTACAATGTGGACGCCTGAACTGAAACTGTAAGCATTAAAAATTCTTCACCAATTTATTTATTGACTGTTCAACACTGAATTTGTCCAATTGCAAAATAATTTTTATACTATTCAAAAGGTTTTTTTTCCAGAAACATTTTAAATTTTTAATTTATCGGTTTAGCATAAATATGTGCTCGGTGATTGTTAGCACAATATTTGAATTATCCTTTAAACTTTTTTGGCAACGTATTGAAAATGTTGAAGCACTTTTTTCTTCTTTGGTTTGTTGACATTATAAAAAGTTATTCATTTTCCAATG